ACTCTTGAGGAAAAAAATCTTATAATGGAGTAAGGGAAGCATTGTAGAAAAGGGGTAGAGCTAACAAAGATATGGTCTTGGGTCAAGGTTAGTCTTAATCAGTTTCATAGGGAAGGTGGTTTGGAATGTAAATTGTACCTTAGAGATTTCCTACTTCTCAGGCTGGGTGACTATGTTGGCAGATGGCAGTTCTCCAGAGAAGGGGGCAGTTGTCAAGTAATAGCTGATACTCACAAAGGCTAGGAAATGGGTACTTCAACCAGGTAAATGGGATCTGGATGGGTTATACCAATGCCTTTTATAGTGCTTGAGTTAACTGAGTAATTTCATATTCTGGGTTGACCATGGAATTTCTAGTAAGTGAAAATACTGATGGCCTTAAAGAAAATCTAAGGAGCTCTGGTGGCCTAGTGTCTAAGGCATTTGACTGTTAACCAAAAGGTTGGTGGTTCAAACCCACCAGCCACTCTGCCAAAGGAAGACTGGACAATTGACTTCTGTAAAGATTTACCACCTCAGAAACCCAAAGGAGGTCGCTATGAGTTGGAATCGATTTGATGGCAGTGAGTTTGGTTTTTCTGTTGTAAAGAAAATCTATGTCTTCATGAATTGAAAACAAACAAACAAACAAACAAACAAAACGTCACACACAACAAACACTTTTTCTTTTGAGTAACTATGAGTTCCAGACACTGGTGGGATATGTATTCTGAAAAGCATGACACAATTGACATCATTACTACTCAGTATATGGATTAGGAGGGGATGTAACAAGGAAATTGTGGCATTGAAGTAGAGTAATACAACAGCTGTTAAAGTTAAAAACAAAATAAATGCACCTCTGTCAAGTTGTATCCGACTCATAGTGACCCCTCCTTGGGTTTCCAAAGCAGTATCACTATGGAAGTAGGTTGCCTGCCCGACCTTCCTTCTGAGGAGTGACTGGTGGGTTTTAACCTCCAGCCTTCTGGTTAGCAGTCAACTGCCTTAGGTATTATGTCACCAGAGCTCCTCTGTCAAAGTTACATATAGTAAACTACGACACTAGTAATCCCACATGAAAGCAATATACTTATAGCTGGTGGCTAGAGAAAGGGACAGGGACAGCTTTCTATATGGTGTGGCACCCCAACAAATTTAGTCATGTACTTTTCAGGTGAAGTCCTTTCCTCACTATTGGTCAAATTGTTTCCTGTCCAAAATGGAAACATTTGAACATGAACCCAAAATGTTATGGTTCTCATTTACAGTTGCCTTAGGTATAAATAAGGAGCTCTGGTGGAGTAATGGATAAGGCAACTGACTGCTAATCAGATGATCAGTAGTTCAAACCCACCAGCTTCTCCATGGAAGGAAGATGGGGTTATCTACTCTCTTAAAGATTTACAGCCTCAGAAAACTAATGGTGTTTCACTATGAGTCAGAACTGACTTCATGGCAGTCAGTTTGGTTTGGTTTGGTTTTTAGGTATAAATTGAGACATAAAGCTTTCCAATTTCCAAATATGACATTAACTCCTTTTTCTTGGAAAATAGGGGCTATTCATCCTACATTTACTGGCAGTAACCCCAAGACAATTTCCCTTCTCCAAAGACTACCTACAGTGATAGCAAACACTCAAGATAATATTCTATATAGACCATTATTCATTACCCAGTACCTGATTCCAATCAGTGGCAGTAACTGGTAGAGCAGTGGATGGAGGGAGAGCTATTTAGGAGGTAAAGAGTTATATACCTTAGCAAGCAATTGGGCACATAAGCAAGTAGCAGGGACAATCCAGAGAAGTCCTGACTCCATGCTGAACGCAATTTGAGGAAGAGAGAGCTTATCCAAGTGAAAAAATTCATTAAGGTAGTGGCTGATGATGATTTACTAGTTTTCTCTCCTATTTAAGGACATTGTTTTCTTTTTTCTTTTTGAGTGGATCATGAGGGGCCTCAGGGGAACCTTTAAAGTTTTTATTCAAACTTTCTTTGCATAAGTTCTTCCTAAACATAATACATATTTCTTAATTTCAAGACATGTTTTAAATATAAATAATGTCATTTAACATCTAATACTTTTTACCTGATTCTTATTTTTATTTAACTTTACAAGAGATAGAGGTATTTTTAAAATCTCTCTCCTTGTTTCTATTCTTCATTTTCTATAGTGTCATGAAATAAGCCCCCTTCCCAAAGCAATCCACTTATAATATATACTCTTTTCTATTCTTTTATCCTACTTACTCTCTTCTTAAAATCACTAAGAGGATAACTAGGCTCTGTTATTGGTCCTTTTCTTTTTTACAAGGGTGAGAATTGTACATAGAAAGACTTTTTTCCCAACCCCTTTGAAAACAGTGCCACAATTGTATTCATTCTGAACTGTAAGTATGATACTGATTTACAACTTTATTTGCCTCATCATTGCCTTTCAAATGACTGCACTTTTCACACTCTAACAGATGAAGAACTTACTAAGATGGCATAAGTATGATAGCAATTATTCATTTATTAGGATCAGTCCTGACTATTTTATTCTATGTTTTAAGATGACTTCATAAAATCATATGACTAAGACAATTATCTTTTTATATATTCTTATATTTCGATTCAAATAATTAAATTGAAACTGAGCTTTGCTCATGTTACCTTATAACATGCTTTCATTTTAATGAATGTACACAACAAATAAAAAGCAAAGTATTAGCAGAAGTAAACATTGAGTTTAATGGGAGTGCTAGTATTGGGAGCTCTGGTAGCATAGTGGCTAAGACACTTGCCTGCTAACCAGAGGGCTGGCAGTTCAAACCCACCAGCCACTCCTCGGAAGGAAGGTTGGGCAATCCTACTTCCATAGTGATACTGCCTCGGAAACCCAAGGAGGGGTCGCTATGAGTTGGGTTTGACTGGACGGCACATAACAACAACAAAGCAACAACAAGTGTTAATATGACAGAAGAACATCACTAAGTGTTTCCATTTAACTTCCCTTAGCACTGCAGGAGCTGACTGAGAAACAGAAGAGAGTAAGACTTCATTCAGAGCTTAGATAAGGGAGTCTACAAGGTTAGTAATAAAAGATAAATAGGAAGGAAAAAAAAAAAAAAGAACATCACACTCAATAGAATCAAGTAGGTGACAATGGGAGAAATTCTGATCTGTCTTATATAAATCTTATTTCTCTGTTAATAATATTCCAAATTTCAGTTTAAGAAAACTTTAGTGCTCTAAGAATGTTCAACAAAAAAGAGTATATACTTTGGCCTTTAGATTCTCATTTGTATAATTAACTTTTAGATTCCACTGTATACAACTAATTTAACTAATTGCACAATAATTACTTTTTTTTTTAAGTAGTTTAGATGAAATTTTACAGACAAACTAGTGTTCCATTCAACAATTTATACACATTGTGTTTCATGACATTGGTTATAATCCCCTCAGTATAACAGCACTCTTCCCACTTCTTCCCTGGGATCCCTGTTTCCATCTACCTTTCCTTCCTGTCTTTGGAGCTTTACTTTTTGGCGAATGTTGCCTTTTTGGTCTTGTACAGTTGATTGTACTGAGGGGAATATTCCTCCCTGGTGTTAGTATTCACTTTATAGGCATGTCTGTTGTTTGGCTGAAAGTTGATCCCCAGGAGTGGGCTCAGTTCCAACTTCAATGCTGTCTTAGGCCCACAGTCTTGGAGATTCCATCAGTCTCTGTTGGACTAGTAAGTCTGGTATTTTTTATGATTTTGAACTTTGTTCTACATTTTTTTTCTCCCTCTCTGTCCAGAACCTTCTATTGTGATTCTGATCAGAGTAGTTGGTAGTAGTCGCCAGGGTCTCAGGCTACTGGAGGCTATGGTTCACACAGTCCATTAGTTCTTTGTACTAATTCTTTCCTTGAATCTTTGATTCTTTCTCTTCACTCTTTTTTTGCTCCAGACAAGGAGAAACCCATAGATGTAGCTTAGAAGGCTACTAGTAAGCTTCTAAGATTTCAGTTTCTGTTCACTAGAGGAGTATGTAGAGCATTGTCTTTGTGGACTACGTTGTGCCAATTGACCTAGATGTCTACCGAGACTGTGGTCCTACATCCTCAAGACCACTAAATCATTCTTTCAAAGCATTTGGTTATGGCTAAGAATTTTCAGAACTTTACCCTCTATTAGCTGTATAATATCCTTATATATATTTAAAGCACATATATATGCATATGTAGAAATATCATCTGCCAAACCTTTATAGACTCATAGGAATACTCCCATTTGCCTTCTCACATCTGTTCAGCTTGCATGTCTACTATGTTCTACTCATAGATGTTGTTTGTTATTACTATTATTTCAGGATTGTGTATATAATGTATTTACCTTTGTTGTCCTTTACTCTGTGCACCTCTGAGTGATTTACTTTGCCATTGGCCATGTTGTGCTGTCCTCCCTCTCATTGTAAATTGCCTGTCCCTTCACCCCCATTAATATATGTCTATAGCCACTCCTCAGAAGGAAGACTGGGCAACCTACTTCCATAGAGATACCACTTCGCAAACTCAAGAAGGGGTTACTATGGATTGGAACCAACTTTACGGCAATGAGTTTGGTTTTTTGTTTGTTTGTTTACTTTCTACTTAATGATTTGTAAATTTTAAAATATCTATTGTTCCCAAACATCTACATTCTTATAACTTGATTTTGTATTGAAATCTTCAACAAGTAGGTATGACTGACCACAAACAGGTCTTCATATTTTTCTATTGATTTAAAGTTACAGAAAAGGTATAATCCAACTCTAAAATCGGACTGTATTTAAACAACTGTGCAAAAGTAAAATCTAAAAATCATAATAGTTAAATTATACTCATTATAATAATACATTATGCAAATTATACAGAAATAATCTTGACTTGAACTTGGCTGAATTTTAAGTGGATTACAAGGTAAAAGAATATTATATTTCTTCTAAAGCTATCTCAAAGAGAGAAGTTTACAAAAAAGGCATCCTAACCTATTTTAGTTAATCTTACCAGTAAAGACGATGAGCAACTTGGATGCTTTGCAATGAGCGGTGTAGCAGGAGTTGCACCAGGGGGCTTTCAAGATTCCATTCAAACTTGAGAGCCTAAAGTAAGAGATATAACTAATTTACTGTTTAAAAATAATATATTCTTTAATAATTTTTTAAAATTGTTGTAAAAATATAGGTACACAACATTTGCCAATTTAACATTTTTTGGTGTACCATTCATTAAGGGGAATTACATTAATAATGTTGTGCAACCATCACATTGCCTTATTTTCCATTCCCGTAAACAGAAAATTCAGCATTAGCTAAAGAAAGAGTTCTCTTTTTCCTCTTCTCTCCCACCACTGGTAACCATTGTGAAACTTTATCCCTATATATTTGCTTGTTCTAAGTATTTAATAGGAGCCCTGGTAGCATAGTGCCTAAGGCATTTGACTGCTAACCAGAAGCCTGGTGGTTCAAACCCACCAGCCACTCCTCGGAAGGAAGGTTGGGCAATCCTACTTCCGTAGTGATACTGCCTCTGAAACCCAAGGAGGGGTCGCTATGAGTCGGGGCCGACTTGACGGCAAATAACAACAACAACACAAGTATTTAATATTCTTGAGATCTTAACGATATTTTTCTTCTTAAGACTGTTATATTTTACTCAGCATAAAGGTTCACTCATGTTGTGGCATGTATTAATTTTTTTTTTTTTTTTTTTTAATGGCAGAATACATTCTACTGTGTGTATATGTCACGTTTTGTTTATCCATCCATCTGATGAGGGACATTTGAATTGTTTCCACTTTGGGGTTATCGTGAATAGTGCTGCAATGAACATCAGTGTACATGGGTCTGTTAGTGTTGCTACTTTTAGGTCTCCTAGGAATATACCCAAGAATGGAATTGCAGGATCATATGGTAGTTCAGGATCATAGGTGCTCTGGTGGCATAGCGGGTAAGGCATTTGCTCTTAACCAAAAGGTCAGTGGCTCAAAACTTACCAGCTGCTCTGCAGGAGGAAGATGCTGCAATCTAATTCCATAAAGTTGTACAGCTTTGGAAACTCAATGGGGGTCACTGTGAGTGAGAATTGACTTGAAGGTAGTTTAATTTTAACTTTTTAAGGAATTTTCAAATCATTTTCTAGAGTGGCTGTACCATTTTGCATTCCCACCAGAAATGAGTGAAGGTTCCAACTTCTCCATATCCTTGCCAACATTTGTTACTTTCTGCTTTTTTTTTCTTTTTCTTTTTATCAATGTTGGAGGAGTGAAGTGGTATCTCATTGCAGTTTTTATTGGTATCTCCCTAATTGCCAAGGACATTGAGGATCTTTTCACATTTTTAATAGCCATTTGTATATCCTCTTTAGTGAAATGTCTATTTAAGTCCTTTGCCCGTTTTTAATAGAGTTGTTTTGGTTTTTCTTGTGAAGTTGTAGGAGTACTCAGTGAATTCTGGATATTAGACCCTGTTTGTTGTTGTTGTTGTTGTTATGTGCCATCGAGTCGGACCTGACTCATAGCAACCCCTCCTTGGGTTTCCGAGGCAATATCACTACAGAAGTAGATTGCCTAACCTTCCTTCTGAGGAGTGGCTGGTGGGTTTGAACCACCAGTTTTCTGGTTAGCAGTCAAGTGCCTTAGGTGCTATGCTACCAGAGCTCCTGTATTAGACCCTAGTTCCCTAAATTTTCTTCCAGTGTGTAGATTGTCTTCTGTACTTTCTTTGTTTTTTTTTAGTAGCATATTATAAAATATAAAATAATATAAAATAATGTAAATATAAAATATTTAGTAGCATAAGTTGATGTGGAAGTGATGAAAAAAAGCAGACATAATTATGTAATTTAGCTTTACATACTTTTGTTTTCTTTCCTTATTTATGCTTTAGAATCACAGGGTAATTTATAAGAGGGTGGTTGGTAGAGTTTAGGCCATGGCTAAGAGAACACTGTCACAAAAACAGTGTCTCTGAATTATAAAAATGGTATTGTTAGGCAATAGGTATTCTGACCTATTTTGAGAAGAAATGAATGTAGACTCAACACCTTAACAGAAATCACCAACTGATATATCAATATCAATCTGCAGACCTTTAAGCTTTGCTTGTAGGTTTCAAAGCTGATTTTTGCCACTAAAACTCATTTCCAAATCCTTCCTTTATTTCCACTGGGAATAAATATCCAAAGTTGTCAAGGCACTCAGTTCGATAGAAAACACAGACAGCACTGGCACCACCCCTGATATCCATAAGGACCTTATTCGGATCTCCACCCACACTGTGTGGGGACTTCACTGTCAGCAGTCAGTACCTTGAATGCCATCATTATCCTACGAATCTCAATATGTTTTGAAAATGAAAAACAGATTCTCTTCATAAAAATTGTCATCTCTGGTTCAGAGGCAAAGATTCTATTTTTAGTAACTCAGTTATTCAAATGTCTCTTTTGTTCTCTCTCTCTCTCACACACACACACACATACATACAGATAATTTAAATTTAAACTGCAGATAAAAGTGTGTACTACATTCATTCACATATTCATCTGAACAAACACATAAATATGCTAACCATTCTCAGCCATGGGAAAGCTTATACATTCTTTTGTATAAACTTCTGATGTTGTCTAAATGTATGAAGACCTTATCGTGTGTTGCCTTAAATCATGGCTATGTCCTTCTCCTTTCATTTACTTGCTAATGCTGGGCTGACTAGGTCATAGGTTTTGTTTATACCCTAAAAACAAACAAACAAACAAAAAAAAACAGAACTTGAGTAGGATCTGACTTGTAGCTACCCCTCCTTGGGTTTCTGAGGCAGTATCACTATGGAAGATGTGTACATCATATTATCATATGAGAATATGAACAGGAGCTTTGTCTCAGAATTTATTTCCATACTTCTCCTTTCATTTACTTGCTAATGCTGGGCTGACTAGGTCATAGGTTTTGTTTATACCCTAAAAACAAACAAACAAAAAAAAAAAAACAGAACTTGAGTAGGATCTGACTTGTAGCTACCCCTCCTTGGGTTTCTGAGGCAGTATCACTATGGAAGATGTGTACATCATATTATCATATGAGAATATGAACAGGAGCTTTGTCTCAGAATTTATTTCCATACTTCTCTCTTAGATTTCTGACCTGTCATTTCATCTTGAATACAATGACTATTTGTCACTATCAAATTGTCTATATTGCTTCCAAACTCTGCTTTACTGTTTTACTGGTACAATTTTTCCCTAACTCCTATCTCATTTTATAGAATGTAAGTGATTTTTCTAGTGCACACCTCATTTTTTATGAACTCTGTTCTTGGAACCTACCTGTATAGTTATGACTTGTGATTTACAGAAAACACTGGCTTTGTCATATTTGACTCCATAATGTAACCATATTTTTGGCTTTCATGATGGTCTTACAGTCCTTTCTTATTGTTCTAAGCCTTCATACTTTTAGAGCATTTAGTAATCTTCATTTGTATTTATGGTGAAGTTGCAGATTTATCTGATTTTACCTTCTGTGTATATGCTGCACCTTGTTTTATGAATCTGGATTTGCAGGTATATAGTTCTCAACAATATTACCAGTGCCAATCATGCTGACTCAGATTGTGACTTTCAAATGGGTTTAATCTATACAAACTTCAGTAAACACATTCTTTTGTTAGATATGGCATGATGCCCATACCAATGAGCCATGAGATGAACAGTGATTCTACAAATTGGATTCCCTTTTATTTTCACTACACTACCAACCACTCATCTGTCAGTTTGTCACACTGTGGTAGCTTGAGTGTTGCTATGATGCTGGAAGCAATGCCACTGAGTCACTGATGGTAGATTCCAGATTAAGACAGAATAGTAAGGAAACTCTGGTGATCAACTTCCAAAAATTAGCCAACGAGAACTCCATGGATCACAACAGAATATCATCTGATATAGTGTTAGATGAAGAGCCTTTTAGGTTGGAAAGTAGTCAAAGAAAACAGTGGCTGCAACAATGGATTTGATCACGAAGATAGTGCAGTACAGGATCTTGCAATGTTTGGTTCTGTCACACATGGGACTCCATGTGTTGGAGCCAGCTCAATGACAACTAACAACAACAACATCCTGGTGAGCATAAGAAGTTACAACTATAAGGATTAGCAGAAGTAATTATATGGTACAGCTATTTCTAAAGAAGTTCTCTTTATTTATGAGAGCTTCAAAGAAATGCATATTATGTGTGAAAAGAAGTATGTTATTTGAATCTGTTAATAAAGGCTTTCTCCATAAATTTCAGAGTTTCTTGTCAATATTGAAAAAAAATTCAGGTACCTGATATTTAAAATGGCTATATGTACAATGTGACCTTTCAGACAGGAAAGTATTTGAAATAAATAAATAAATAAATAAAGACCAGTATTTTAGGCTTACCCAACAGTCAACATATTGTCATCTTGTATAAACATATCTTCTATACTTTGGCTATTCAGTCACTTCACAATCATTTATAAAGTGTACAATTTAATTATTTATCTTCATCAAATTCAGGATGCACACAATATGTGAATATATAGCAATGTTACATGGGGATTACAAGTCAAAGCTGTGTAGATACATGATCATCTGTTTTACTTGTTTTCCCTGTAAAAGGTGAGAAGGCTTGAAAAGTCCATATGAGTATGATATATACTTATCAATTCATCAGATTTTTACTTGATTGCTAAAGCTTGTTGTTGTTATGTGCTGTCAAGTCATTGATTCATAGAGACCTTATGAACAACAGGACAAACACTGCCCACTCCTGTGCTGCCCTCACAATTCCTACTATACCTGAGCACATTGCTGCAGCCACCATGTCAATCCATCTTGTTGAGGGCCTTCCCTTCTTTCCTGGACCCTCCACCTACCAAGCATGACATCCTTCTCCAGAGAATGGTCCCTTACGACAACATGACTAAAGTTGGTGAGACAAAATTTGGCCATTCTCTCTTCCAAGGAGCATTCTAGCTGCAGTTCTTCCAGGACAGACTTGTTAGTTCTTTTAGCAGTCTATGGTACTTTAAGCATTCTTCACCAACACCAGAATTCAAAAGCATGAACTCTTCTTCAGTCTTCCTTATTCATTGTACAGCTCTCACATACATTTGAGGCAATTGAAAACACCATGGCTTGGGTTAGGCACATTTAAGCCTTCAAGGAGCTATCTTTGCTCTTCAGTACTTGGAAGAGGTCTTTTGAAGCAGATTTACCCAATGCAATAGGTCATCTTATATCTTGACTGCTGCTTATTGACAGTCATTGCAGAACCAAGTAATATGAAGTCTTTGACAACTTCAATCTTTTCTCCATCTATTCTGATGCTGCTTATTTGTCCAGTTGTGGGGATTTTGTTTTCTTTATATTGAGGTGTAATCCATACTGTAGACTGTAGTCTTTAATCATCATCAGTAAATGCTTTAAGTCATCCTTCCAGCAAGGAAAGTTGTGTCATCTGCGTATTGCAGGTTGTTAGTAAGCTTTCCTCCAATCTTGATGCCATGTTCTTGTTCATATAATCCAGCTTCTCAGATTATTTTCTCAGCATACAGATTGAATAAGTGTGGTGAAAGGATACAACCCTGATGCACTCCCTTCTTGATTTTAAACCATGCAGTATCCCCTTGTTCTGTTCAAACAACAGCCTCGTGGTTTATGTATAGGTTCCTCCTGAGTACAAGTAAGTGTGCCAGAATTCCCATTCTTCTCAATGTTATCCACAATTTGTTATGATCTACACAATTGAATGCCTTTGTATAGTCAGTAAAACACAAGTAAGCATTTTTTTCTGGTATTCTTTGCTTTGAGCCAAATCCATCTGACATCAGCTATAACATTCCTTATTCCACATCCTCCACTTGCATTTCTGGAAGTTCTCTGTCAACATGCTGCTGCAACCATTTTTTAATTATCCTCAGTAAGATTTTACTTGCACGTGATATATCAATGATATTGTTTGATAATTTTCACATTCTGTCATATCACCTTTCTTTGGAATGGTTACAAATATAGATCTCTTCCAGTCAGTTGGCCAGGTAGCTGTCTTCCAAATTTCTTGGCATAACCGAGTGAGTGTCCCTAGTGCAGCATCCATTTGTTGAAACATCTCAGTGGGTATTCTGTCAATTTCCACAGTCTTATTTTCCACCAATTCCTGCAGTGAAGCTTTAACTTCATCCTTCAATACTATTGGTTCTTGATCATATGTCACTTCCTGAAATGGATGATCATCTACCAATTCTTTTTGCTATAGTGACTCTGTGTATTCCATCCATCTTCTTTTGATGTTTCCTGCATCATTCAACATATTGCCCATGGAATCTTTCAATATTACAATTTGAGGCTTATTTTTTTTCCTCAGTTCTTTCCGCTTGAGAAATGATGAACATGTTCTTCCCTTTTGGTTTTATAATTCCAACTCTTGGCACATTTCATTATAATAATTGACTTTATCTTTTCAAGCTGCTCTTTGAAATCTTCTGTTCAGCTCTTTTAACCTGTCAATTATTCCATTTGCTTTAGCTACTCTCCATTCAAGGGTAAGTGTCAGACTCTCTTCTGACATCCATTTGGGTCTTTTCTTCCTTTCTTGTCTTTTTAGTCAACTTTTGCTTTCTTCATGGATGATGTTCTTGAGCAGGTAGGGCAGGCCAGGAAGTGAGAGTGGAGCAGACAGTTAAGAGAGATGTCCCACAATTCTGGTTTTTAATCATTGGTGTTTAATGCATCAAATCTATACTTTAGGTGGTCTCTGAATTCAGGAGGGATATAATCAAGGTCATATTTTGGATCTTGTGGACTTGTTTTAATTGTCTTTAGCTTCAAGTTGAACTTGTATATGAGCAGTTGATGGTCAGTTCCACAATCAGCTTCTGACCTTATTTTTGCTGAAGATATTGAACTTCTCCATTGCCTCTTGTCACGGATATAGTCAATCTGATTCCTGTGTACTCCATCTGGTGAAGTCCACGTGTGCAGCCACCATTTATGTTGTTGAAAATCACAATGAATTTGCAATGACTATGTTGTTGGTCTTGCATAATTCTATCATGCAATCTCCAACATCATTTCTATCACCTAGGCTATGTTTTCCAACTATTGATGAATCTTCTTTCTTTCCAACTTTTGCATTCTAATCACCAGTGATAATTAACACATCTTGATAGCATGTTTGGTTGATTTCAGACTACAGAAGTTAGTAAAAAAATCTTCAATTTCCTCATCTTTGGCTTTGGTGGTTGGTGTATAAATTTAAATAATACTAGTATTAACTGGTCTTCCTTGTAGGTGTATGGATATTATCCTATCACTGACAGCATTGTACTCCAGAATAGATCTTGAAACATCCTTTGTGATGATGAATGTCATGCCATTCCTCTTCAATTTGTCATTCCTAACATAGTAGATCATATGATTGTCTGATTCAAAATGGTCAAAACCAGTCCATTTCAGCTTACTAACACCTAAGATGTAAATCTTTATTCATTCCATTTAATTTTTGACAACTTCCAATTTTCATAGATTCATACTGTGTACATTCCATGTTCTGAATCTTAATGTAATTGTAATTGCAACTAATATAATTGTAGCCATTTCTTCTTGTTTAGAATCATGCCACATCGGCAAATGGAGGTCCCAAAAGCTTTACTCTATCCACGTCCTTAAAGTCAGCTCTATTCTGAGGAGACAGCTCTTTCCTAGTCATATTTTAATGACCTGAGGGCCTCATCTTCTGGCACTATATCAGAAAATGTTTCAGGGCTATTCACAAAGTTTTTCAGTAATATATCAGTGTTTCACTGCTATTCATAAGGTTTCCACTGGCCAATTCTTTGAGAAGGAAATGGCTTCTTCCTTCTTCAAAGTCTATCCTAGTCTGGAAGCTCCACTAAAACATGTCCACCATGGGTAACCCCATTGGCATTTGAAACACTTGTAGCATAGCCTCCAGCCTCACGGCAACACACAAGCCACCACAGGATGACAAACTGACAGAGCAGTTCATCTCCCTTAGCTGTTCCAAACTGCTCCACTCCTGCTTGCTGGCCTGCCCTACCTGTTCTGGCCCTCCAAAAACTGGGTTCTGCTGCTTCCTGTCCAACCCTATATTTAATTATTTATCTTTCATCAAATTCAGGATGCATACAATATGTAAATATATAATAATGTTATGTGGGGTTTGGAAGTCAAGAATGTGTAGATATATGTACATCTTTTTAATTATTTTTCCCCTTAAAAGGTATGGAGGCTGTATATATATATATATATATATATATATACACACACACACACATAATTTTATAGACGTTCCTATGTTAACTAGAAGGCTGGCATTTCAAACCCACCAGCCTCTCTTCGGAAGGAAGGTTGTACAACCTACTTCCATAGTGATACTGCCTTGGAAACCCAAGGAGGGGTCACTATGAGTCGGGTCTGACTCAATGGCACATAACAACAACAACATATTCATTATAAGAAAATTAACAAAATATTCTTTTCAGTAAAAGAATGGATTTTAATAAATATGAAGTTTCTTTATGTGCATGATTTATAGCCCATTGATAGGACAGCAGGGTATAATAATGATACAAGAAGGTATTCTATGAGTTTAAACTTAAGTGGTTAGAATATTTGATGAACTTTCCTTGAGGAGTGGCAGATTTTCTCTCCTAGGTAATTTTCAAAATTACTTGATGATATACAGGGAAGTGAATAGGAAGCAATGACTAGTTTATAAAGTAAAATGAAAAATATAATCCTGATTGTCATTTTACTTCTCTCAGGTCAAATTATACCAAACACTACCACCAAAAACAACAACCCAACAAATTATCTATTAAATTTACCTCCTTAACCATGTTATCAAAGTATCTCTATGAGGTAACACATTTTAAACATTATAGAGTTAACTCCCCCAATATATCATATTATTTCAATATAAACATAAGTTAGAATATCTACTGTACTTTACACAATATTTTAAGCACAATGTATCATAGCAACATGTTCTCATTGGGAATATTCAACTGTGTTAGTATGTGAACATCCCATATTTTGCTTTAGTCTAAGTCTTTCCCTTTGCTCATTCATGTAGGTAATATATATTATTTTCTAAAATTACTCTAGCATTATGATATTTGGTGTTAATCACTAAACTGTATTATTGAGTGGCAAAATTTGAGTTTCAGAAATTACTTTTATAAAATTTACAATCAATATTAGTATTTTCTGACAAAGTCAGGAAACTCATAAAACATGAGGTACTGCCTAGAAAATGGTTATTTTATACAAAACATTTAATTGGTTACTTTTTGTATTGTTTTGTATATACAGTCAGATAAAAAGATACCATCATAAGCATTGCTATTTTTCTCCTGCGGTAATTACTCAGTGAAGTTGGCTTTTTCTTTTCTTCTTCATATATATATATATATATATATATATATATATATATATATATATATCCCCCCCCCCCAAATTGGTATTGTTTTACCAATTTTGTTAGGAATTTTCTACATTATCTATATGAGCTATTATTTGTCCTTTTGTCTGGCCTAATTGCATTATCATTTTTATGTAATTTATTGTTGATTCATTGAGATTTTTTGTAGAGAACTACTAATGAAAATCCTAGAATCTCTTGGCAACTCTGCTATTCTTACCTGAACTAACTGTGGGAGATATTCCAGGAGTTCGTCATTCAAGAGGTTGTCTAATTGTTGAACTGCTGCTCGACGAATTTCATGATCTGGAAAACTAATACAAAATAAAAATGTTTATTTAGCTGTTAATTGTATGGGGTAATGTGTGATCAATTTTAGGGATAAGAGAGAATGAATACCACACCCAGTACATAAAGTCAAAACAGTTAATAATCCTATACTCAATTAATATGGTATAATATGGTAATTAATGCTAAATAATCATTTTTCCATATTTTGTACTCTCACATGGATTGCAGGAGAAAGCTCTTCTGGATAGATGTTTTGGAAACCTGGAATTAAGTTAGATCCCTGCTAATTTTCTTATTTATAGTATGGATACTGGTTATCTAAAGTTTTTCTAAAATAAGAATGAAAATTTTTGCTTCTCATTTAGCCATATGTTTGCTAAGTAAATTATTGCTAGCTGGAAATCTGATAGTTTATGTAATTTAAAATGGGATTTAAGATTTTTAAGATGGGCTTTGGCCAGATCTTAGTGAAAAGCAGAAATTCAAAGTTCTTGTAATAAATAAACAAAAATAATTGAATAAAGCTAACTCTTGCTACACTGTGAAATTCTTGAAGGTAACTATGTCTTATTCATATTTTAACTTCATATGCCTTTTGCAAGCTATAGGATCTATTGAAAATAAAAATAAACAAACAAACAAAAGAATAGTGGGCTGGTGAGTCAATTCTGACTCTTGATGATCCTGTGTGTTTCAGAGTAGAATGGTGCTCCCTAAGGTTTTCAATGGCTGTGATACTGTGGAAGTTGATCACCAGGTCTTGCTTTCAAGGCAACCCAGGGAGGTTCAAGCCTCCAGACTTTTGGTTTGCAGGCCATTGATTAACTATTTGTATCCCCCAGGGATTCCTTAGCACACAATAGGCACTTAATAAATATTTTTATTGAACTAAATTTGTGATGGTATTTGAAATACCTATTCCAAAGAAAACTTACCCTCAAATGTGGTCTGACTGTCATCATTTTGCTCTATCAGAAGAATTAATTTAATTATATCTAAGATACTGCCTTAGAAACCCAAGGAGGGGTCACTATGGGTTGGTCCCACTAGAGGGCACATAACAACACCAAGCTTCTAGGAAAATCCTGTATATAACTTTGGGCTCCATACTGCTTTCATAAGTTTTGACATGATTTTGATGTGTTGCTTTGACATGATTAGATATAACTAAGGCTATGGTTAGAACAGGGAGCTCTGGTAGCATAGTGCCTAAGGCACTTGACTGCTAACCAGAAGGCTGGCGGTTCAAACCCACCAGCCACTCCTCGGGAGGAAGATGGAGCAATCTACTTCCGTAGTGATACTACCTCGGAAACACAAGGAGGGGTCTCTAAGTTGGGTCTGACTTGACTGCACATAACAATAACAACAACATGGTTAGAACAATGAATTTTAAATGAACAAGTTTTTAGAAACACTATTATGCATAATTTAAAATGAGAAAGAACTGCTTATAGTGACTCACTTAAAAACAAATAAATGAATAAAAGAAATAAAACCCCAAGCCCCTCTGAATGGGAATTAACTGCATGTTTTTCAACCAGTCAGGAGAGCTCTGAAGATAGCTCTCAAAACTGTGGAGTTCAGTTAAAAATTTACAGGTTTTAATGTCCAGTGTTTTTACAGTACAACAGGTTACTAAAGGGTGAAATGAATACTACGTAACTACAGAATCAAAGAAAAAATGGTTTCACTCAGTATTCCTCAACTGTCCTTGAAAGCAGTTTGAACTGAATGTTTAAATAGATTGCAAATTTTTTCTTCATTAAAACTGAGTATTTTAATTGCAACAAGAATTTCACTTCCAAGGTTAGTCACTCAGAACCCTTATTTCTGACCTGCAAATACTCTGCCAATCATTTTTCTTTGAACTTTATAGCGTGAGACCTACTGAGAACTGTAGTTGAGACACATCTCATGAGGTATTGCTAAGGTCAGAAGATCTCAGCATAACATCAAGAATAGATTAGGAGCAAAAAATGTGCAATAAAAACACAAAGCCAGAAGAAGGTCAGCTTGTTTTAGCACATAAAGACTTGAGATTCGTCTAACTAAATGTGATTGACTCTAATTTATTGCTTTAAATTCCTAAACCATTTGTGGGATGTTTATAACACCAAGGTCAGTTTGAGAACAGTTTAAAATCTTAGAGGGATTAGGTATTTGGTACATTGTGTTGCTTAATTGATGAATTTTGTAAGCTGGATACTATTCACCCATACTTTCTTGTGTGTTTATTCATCTTATAAATGTGGATAACAAAACAGAGAGAAAAAAAGAAAAGAAGCATGTCACAATGAAACAAAACTCTTTGGTGAACATTATTCCTCTACGTTATGTATTTATTTTCAACCACTAGAATGCAAACTCCATGAAGACAGAATTTTTGTCTGTTTGTTTACAAGTATGTGTCCCCAATGTCGACAAAGTAGTGACACTCTCTACCTATATGTTTGAAAAATGGCTAAGCTGAACTCAAGGGCCCTCCCAAACTGTTTATGTTGTCAGAGTTCCTTCTTCTAGCCTGTGTTAGTAACTATCACCAATCAGGCCTGAAATTTAAAGAGTGATATTTTGCCTCTGTTTTCCCTCTCTTCATTAAGATTTCTCCCTTTCCCATCTGGTGAAATTTTATTCATGCTAGAAGTTCAGGCTGTGGCATCAGTTTACCTATGAAGCTGTTCTAGCCACTTTCAAGCTCCCTATAAGGTTAATCACATCCTTCTCTATGGGTTTCTATATTATGTACATGATTGAGGGAAGGCTCATTCATTTTTGACTCTCTAGTTCAAGCACAGTGCTTAGCTCATGGTTAACTGAATACAAGTTTGCGGAATTTCTAGTAGACATTTATCTTTATCTAATCAATTACCAAATCCTGTTGACTTTTCCCCTAATAGCTCTAGCATCTATGCATGTTTTTAATTTCTTTTGAAACTATCTAGTCTAGATCATAGTTACCTTATGCTGTTATGAATAGTTTTCATTGTAATGCTTTATGAAATTTCCTTAAGTATTAGTAAGATCATTTCTCATAAATATAGATATAAATATATTTTCAACGAACCTCTCTCAAGTCCAAATTGCTTATCTAGATATTCAAGGCTAACTCAACACTGCAGACTTTTCTACTTCCCTAATAGTGATTAAACTTTCAGTACTAAAGTAATCAGCATATTATTATTAAACTGAAAATACCATGTGCATTCTCATCTTTGTGAGAACTTTTAACCTCTTCTTAGAACACCCTCCCTTCTCTACTCATTAAAGTTCTAGTTCTCCTTAAAAATGTGGATTAAATCTCCTGGAAGGTGACTCTCCCACTCTTTAATAATCACTCTTCTCTGATCACCAATGACATTGAGTGACTCTATTATCAGGCACTTAGGGTATGTTAGTGTGTATTAGAATTTTCCTTTTTATATGTGTGTCCTTGTTCTTCAACTAGAAAGTAAACCACACAATAACAAAATGATGGAAGCAACCGCCTATCAACTGATGAATGGATAAACAAATTGTAGTACATACGTACAACAGAATACTATGCAATTATAAGCAATAATGATTAGTCCCTGAAATGTCTTATAGCATGGCATGGATGATATTATGCTGAGTGAAATAAGTCAATCACAAAAGGACAAATATTGTATGGTGTCACTTGTATAAAGAGTCAAGAATCACTGTACACACAGAAAGCAACATTCTTTGATAGTAACCAGGCATGGGAAAGAGATGGATTGAAAATGACTTTCTAAGTAGAGGACAATTGCTAGTTTTTGTAATGGGAAAGGCAATACCCAATATGGGTGAAGTCTGCACAAGCTGAACAAGGTAAATGAAGACACTAAGAAGTATGCAAAAATAAGGGGCAATTTCAGTAAATTCTATAACAAAAACAATTTTACAATGGTAATAACAATCTAAAAGTGTGTGTGTGGTTACATAGGTAGATATGGATGCATATATGTGTAGAGTAAGGCATCTGTGAGTACATGAATGGACAAGTATAGGTGTATCTGCAGGCATACGTATATACATGTTTGTATTATGCTGCATATATATATTCATATATATATATATAATAAAGCACATGGGGGGCACAGTTATAGATACTTCCTAGACATATCCAAATACTTCACAGGTTTGGTTTACTTGGTTAAAAAGATTAGGACCATAATCTCCATAACCTTGTAGGACAACTAAATAAATTGGCATAACATAGTTCACAAAGATAATGTTCTACATCCTAGTTTGTTGAGTAGCATCTAGGGCCTTAAGTGGCCATCTACAATGACCAGTACAACTATTGGTCCTTAGTCATCTAGAGCAAATGAGAAGGGAGAGAATAAAATACTCAAAGAAGAAACTAGTCCACAGGACTAATAGACAACACAAACACAGCCTTTTCTAGCCTGAGACCAGAAGCACTAGATGGTGCCCAGCTACTGCTACTGGCTATTCTGACTAGGGATATAATAGAAGGTCCCAGATAGAATGGGAGAATAATAGAGAACAAAACTCAAATTCCTGAGAAAGGCCAGACTTAGCAGGATTAATAGAGACTAGAGGAATCCCTGACACTATTGCACTAAGATACCCTTTGAAATTGGAACTGAAACTAGAAGTTACTCCTGGAGGTTACTTTTTAGCCAAATAATAGATTGCCTTAAAAAATAACCAATATCACCATCAATAGTGTGCTCCCTTAAGTAAGCAACTATATGTGACCAAACAGTCAATATTTACCCCTAAACAGAGATGAGATGGTAAAGGGACAGGAAAGCCATATTAATGGAAACAGAACAAATAGCATGGAAATGATGAGAATACTGACACACTGTAAAAAAATGTAATAAATGTCATGGAAACAATTTGTATAAAACCAATTTGTATGAAAATTGTTCAATGGAAACCTAATTTGCTGTGTAAACTATCACCTAAAACAGAATAAAATATTATTATTAAAAAAAAGTAAACTGAGTACATGTCCCATACTATTTTTTATTCCTAGGATTTAACACCA